TGGGGACATTGGGTCACTACTTTAAGTCTGTATAGCTTTAAAAAAACCTTTCGTTTCCTTTTCACAAATCTCTGGCATTGAGATGTCTTTCCCCTGGTGATGGACAGAGGAGCCCAGTAGGTATTAGTATACCGGCCTTGGGAGGGGCCCCTGTCTTTTGTAACAGTTTTTGGTATCCCTGGGTGGGCCAAATATTTGCCCCCCTCAGACCTCTGTTCTGTAACAACAGCAGAACGATGAAATGAGAAGTGAAACTTTTTTTGAGTTAAATATAGGTTATCTCTTACTTAAAAAAAATTAACTACAGAAGTAGTTAGGGACCAGAATACCAATATCTGAATCCAGCCCTGCCAGCCAATTCCCTGTCCAGCCTGGAAGTAATTAGGTCTCTGTGCCTGTTTCTAGATCTTTCGAGGGGGATCACAACCAACCCCCTCTGAGGGTTGCAGTAAAGATGAAATGAGTTTACTGTCTAAAAAGTACTCAGTAAAGCAGCCAGAATGTTACACGTTCCCACATGCTCAATAAAGATCAAGTTGTGTGTAAGTGGGCACCTAATACAGCTGTGTGTATCACTTAGGAAAAATAAATAAATCAAGCTCAGAAGGAACCAATTTCAATTTGAGGCCGGTTAAGAACTGATTAGTTCTAAGAAAATGGCACTGTGACTGTCACTGCTATTTTTGTTTTCCCAGAAGTGGAGTCCTTCCATCGGTGTGATATGTGCAAGCCCTAAGAAATGGGACACTGTTACAGAACAGACCTGGAGGCAGGGGAGGCAGCGATTTGCTATTACCGAATGGACCCCCTCCTGTGCTCTTGGGGGCCCTCCCGTCCTATCAGGTTCGACTTGCCCACTGCCAGGAAAAGATGTCTCTCAATGGCAGAGATTGGTGAAAAGGAAAGGAATTATTTATTCAAAAAGTTACACAGACTTAGAGTAGTGACTTAATGTCTTCATTAAAATAGTGAAGTCCTTTAGAATAGCCACAAATGCACACAATTCCTCCTTCTCCCTCTGCCTAGTCCAGGTTACCATCTCTCAGGAAAAGAGGAAGTCTGTGGCTCAGGTGGCCCCTCCTCCGTTCCCAGCACCACCAGCTGTGCCGCGGCCACAAACTCGTTAATCCAAACCATGTGCACTGGACTGTGCGCCTTCTCGTGGCCCACCAGAAAGAGTCCTTTCACCCCTTTTCTTCCCAGCAAGGTCTCTCCTGCTTCCTAAGCCATGTGGCAAAAGGGAGCACGCCAAAGCCGCACGGTCCTCTCACCAAAGCTGTGTGGTTTCCCTCTTCCATGGCTGCCGTGCCTGGGTGTAAATCCTTGCGCCAATCTTCCTCTGTACCCCAATTTCTGACTCCTCCTACAATTAGTTACACCTGCCAGCATTCCTGTATTCTTCCAAGTTTACTGGTTGCCATCGTAAGTCCAGGCAGGCATGGCCCCACGGCATGAAGCCAATCTTCTCTAAATTCTCACACAGGCATTGTAACCACGGGAAGCTGCACCCTGGTTACATCATGGGTTGAAGTCACTCTCATCTCCCTGACTCAAAGCAGAACCACAGCTATTTAACATATCTATGAAACCAGTTAAAGGTTATAGATATGTTCAACGAACATGCCAGAGGTTATGTTCATTAACCGCAAAGCTGTTGCTATGCAAAACAGCTCTCAATGGTCCTGCTCCATACCTGCCATCCTCTCCAGACTTGTGGGGGTGAAGACACCCTATATATATATATATTTTAATATTTCCTGGACACCCTGAGTTCTGGACCCCATTCCAAATCCCTGCTCGGGAGCCCCTGGCTGCACCCTGCATCGATGCCACAACACTGAGATTCTTTTTTAAAGACTCATCTTTAAATATCTAAAGAAATATAAATGTTTACATTTTAGAAGGGAAAAAAGATCATTCACTAATTTCATGAAGGATTATAAGTATCAAAAGCAAGCACAAAAATAATTAAGCCGAGGGAAAGTCTTTGATAGGTAGTAATACGGTATAATAGGTAGTAATACGGTATAATAGGTAGTAATACGGTATAATAGGTAGTAATACGGTATAATAGGTAGTAATATGGTATGTAATAACAACTGATGTAAGGACATTACATAAAAAATATTATATAAGGGGACAAGTAGAGAAAAAAGTCCGAAGGAACACCCATTGCGACTGCAAAGTCGTTTCTTATTCTGCACTAGCATGGCCCGAAACCGAAGAGACTGAGCAGCAGGAGAGGCTCCCTTGGTCACGACCTCCGAGACCCTGGATCGGTCGACTATACCCTTGGGTATAGCACACTCCCCCTCCCAATCTTGGTGTGCTACTTCTAAATTTTATGCACAAACGACCCCTCCTTCCTAGGCACACCCATGCACCTAACACAGGAAGCCTGCCCCTTTTTTTGTCCCATTCCCCACAGGATGTTCGACAACCACCTGGGAAGAGTGTCTGATTAAGAAGCTGTGCCACAGTAAGCATATGTTCACTTGCATCTCACAGAGTGGAAAGGACAAATTCATTTTCCATTCCAATGCTCAGCGCAGCGGGCATATCTGCAAGAAGAATTCCCTTTTTGCTAAGGAGCAACACTGGACTGGGTGGGGGATAGTTTGGTAAACCACCAGAAGGCGTCTGAACACTAATCCTCAGCTGAGGACCCACACACAACAAAGAAACCCTAGTAGGTTTGGGAGTCCCTTCCTCCCCAAAAACTTTATTCAAGGCATTCATGAGGCAAAGGGCATCATCAATTTAAAAAGTCACTGAAATTGGGTAATTTAGGCAAAGCTTAAACTAAAACAACTGCCATTTTAAAACTTTCACAGTTGGGCACAGGTAACCAGGTTCTTGGTGATCGGGACAAAGAACTGAACTGAACACCCAGAGTTTATAGCCGAGAACATGGGAGCAGGCCAACTCTAAGCAGCGATTGACCTCATGGGCTGGAGGGAGTCTATTCTTACAGGGCGGATCCTTCCTGGGTAGTTTTGGCAGACTTTTATTGTGACAAGTAGCTGTAAAGCTACTGTACATGTGGTCTCTCATGGTTTTCCTGGATTGGCCAGCAGGGAAGGGGGTCCCACAATGTTACCTAGTTGACCCCACCTTCTCCCTGGGTTCCCCTGTACTAGACTCACCTTTCCCTTTACCAGAGAATTATAGCTCTCCATGTTAAAGACTGGTGAAAAGGAAAGGAAGTATTCAAATTATACAGACTTAAGAATAATGACTTAGTATCTTCATCAAAGTATCTTCATCAAAATCCCAAAGTCCCTTAAAACACCCATAAACACACACAGTCCTTCTTTCCCCCTTTGCCCAGTCCAAGGTACCATATCCCAGGAAAAGAAATAAAAAGCTGCATGATTGCTTCTTCTCATGGCTGCGGGGGGTTGGGGGAAGAGGGGATGGTCTTCCCAACTCTGGCCAAAACCACGTGGTTCTCTTTGCTAAAGCTACATAGTGATTCTCTCTCACATGGCTGCGGGAGTCCCCATTCTGGCAAAAAGCGAATGGTTCTCTCTTCAATGGCTGCCGTGTCTGTGTTTAAATCCCTGTGCCAATCTTCCTTTGAAGACCCATTTCCCACTCCTGCCACAACTGGCTACACTTGCCAGGACTCCCATATCCTCCCAGCTTTACTGGGCTACCATGGCGAGTCTGGGCAGGTGTGGCCCCATGGCGTGGAGCCAATCAATTCCAAGCTCTCACTCAGGCACTGTGACTGGGGCTGGGAGTTGCCTCCCAGTTACATCTTCAGTGGAAGTCACTCCCTCCTCCCTGGCTCAAAGCATGGCCACAGCTTTTAACATATCTATGGAACCAGTTAAAGGTTATAGATACCTTAAATGACCATTCTAGAGGTTAGCTGCGAAACTGTTGCTATGCACAACAACTCAATGGCCCTGCTCCATGTATCCCATCCCCTCAGCTCAGACTTGTGGGGGTGAGGACATCCCATATTTTTAATATTTCCTGGACACCCTGAGTTCTGGACCCCAACACAAATCCTTCTTTTGGGGGTCCCATGGCTGCAACCTCCTACAAAACTATATACAATCATATGAATGTCTATAACTAATTCCTTCAGAACATACCTACAATGAAACTAAGTTGTGCAATGTAGCTCTGTCATTAAGATCCAATTAAACATGAGCTCCGCAAACGAGGCAGGACCACTGCTTTATGGAAATATTCTGAGACCGTATTCTCTGAACACTTCTTTCAAAAGATGAAAACTCAGCCCTGCCCCATGTAGCTCAGTTGGTGGGATGTCAACCCACCAGGTGACAGGTCACCAATTTGATTCCTGGTCAGGGCACATACGAGAGGCAACCAATTGTGTTTCTCTCCCACAGTGATGTCTTTTTCCCTCCCTTCCCCTCTCTCTCGAAAAATCAAATCTTAAAAAAAAGATGAAATCTCAGCCTCATTATCTGACATCACACAGATAATGAAACTGTCCATTCCTGCACCTTCTTGCAGTTAAAACATCAACCAAGGCACACACAGTGCTCACATGTACTGCCAGACAGATTATTGCAGACACTGGGAAGAAGTCTCACTTCAATCTACGATTATGAGAAAATTATAAAATTTTTAGAAAAAATGGCAAATAAAAGGAAAATACTGTTTTTCAATGAACTCTCTACATTAATCCCCTGTTTTTGAACTTTTAAATGGTTAAAGCAAAACATCCAAAAATTCAAAATGAAGGGAAAAAACCCCTGTAAAGCCGCCCAAAGGGCTCCCCAGTCAGCACTGTGAACGTGCACGACCCTGAGTCCCTTCGACCTGGGGCAGAATCCCAGCGCTTCAACTCGGTGTGACCTGGCCTAGACCAAATGCGGAGCTCTAAGAGGGAAACAGTGATGTCGACTCCACGTGGTCACTTGTGGCTGACATGAGAGAATATGTATCATACAGTGAATTCTGTAATGTGACTAAAGGCAGAAAAGTGACGATGGCTTAAGGAAGAGTGTACTACTTACACTTCCACCATGCTGCTCCAGCTTCTGTAATGCACTGGTGATCGGCTCTTTGAATTTCTTGTCTCTTAGTCGCTTTGAAAGCTTTAAAGTAAGATTAGGGGAAATAAAATGATTTGAAAAAGCAGTAATATTCACCATAAGTGTAAGTAAAACTTAGATAAAAAACAGGCTAACCGAAACAATGTCACTGAATCTTTACTGTACATGAACACCACCTGACTTGCTTTAGACTCCAAGGCTCCTTTCAGGAAGCATCTCACTGAAATGGGTACATAATAGATGCCACTCTATTTCTTGGGAATAAAAATCTACTAATTTAATTATTTCAAATAATATCAATCCTACAAAACCTGCTACAGTGTGGTATCCAGAGTAAGTGTTCTATGAAATTGCATACTTTTTCACTTTATAGTTTGCGAGAGCATTTGGAGAACTATGATGGAAAGTGAAGCCTCTGAACAGGTGTTTCCAATAGCAATATACAATTACATAAGAGTGGATAAGCTCTGCTTTAACTGATAGCTCATCGACATGGTCATGGTACCATTACATCGCTCATTAATTTGTGTGCATCGCCTTTGCTCACTTCTCACTGCAGCTCTGAGTTCCGTGCATCAGGTGCTTTCCACTGAGAAAATCTAGGGTAACTGTCCATTGGGTAAATGTTTCATGAAACATCAGGATGATTGTGGTTAAGATACTGAGGTCTGCTCTTTGGTTTTCTGTTTTTGTTTTTTGAGGTTTTGAATCATTTGAAGCCGTCACGTCAGGAAGACGGGGACGGGGCATGATGCACAGCCACCCCAATCTTTTCAGCACTTACACTTGTAAGCAGATGTTTCAGATGGTCATTCAGAGAAGGACCGACAACGACGCTTAACTGCACCAGAGCGTTTACTCCTCTTTCAAAGACTTCATCATCTGAGTGAGCCTGTGGAGCGTCGGTTGGTCAGGGGTGCACAGACAGGAAGGGGAAGAAAAGAAAAAGAAAGGAAGTGTCAGGAGAGGACAAGCCAGGGCAAAAAAGATACGACCGAACGTCCAAACTCAGAACATAACCAACCAAACCCGGAATTTAAAAAATAATCTTTAATGCAAGACATGTAGAAGCAACACACAAATTTTATAAAAAATAGCACTGAAACATTAACTAAGATATATTGTAACACGCATAAAGACTGCTGTGAGATTCATTACTTTCTCTAATTTCACTTTTAGTTCATCCTTTAAAGGTGTTTGCAAGTAAATGATTATCTGGCTCTGAATAAGAGTGACTGAATAATTAGAATTTAATTCTAATTCTGCATATATATGTATCACAGCAACAGGTAAAAAGCTAATTTGCCTGTAATTCAGAAGAAAAGGAAGACATAGAGTATCCTAAACGTAACACAGGAAATCAAAGAATAAAGAACATACCAGGGCCGCCTTCAGCACAGGGACCAGTCTAGGAAGCAGAGGCACGGCCTTTGCAGGAGCGTCTTGGACCAGAAGGAGTTCTCTAAAGCCCTCTTTTGAAACAAAGGTGTAAGGATGTTTAGTCTCTCTCAGACCCTGACAAAAACAAAATCCACATTTGCTTATGTTAGTAAGAAAAATTGAATTCTCACTTACATAAGTGAGAATCAAGTCTTACTGTTTTCCTAATCATGATACTTAATTTTAATATTACAGTTTTAAATAAACTGAAAAATTGCAGAATAAGACACATACATGAGACAAAAAGGATCTCTATCCACAAGAAGGAAGGAAGGGAGGGAGGGAGGAAAAATAGTAAGAAAAAATAAAAGAAACAAAAAGAGAAGAGAGAAACAAAAAAGGAAGTTAAAAAAGGAAACAAAGGAAGGGGGGAAAGAGAGAAAGGGAGGAAGGGAGAGAAAAGGTAAATAAGGAGAAATAAAGAGAAAAAAGAAAGAGAAAAACATACTAGTATAATAAATACATTTTGTATACATTCCTAAATACTACCCAAAAGCATAATGCATTAGTCTTAAATGTATGTTTATAAACACCACATTATGAATGCATAATTACTAGACCCTTTGCCTTTACCACAATCTTAGAATTTGTTTTTCTGACAGAAATGTTAACTAATATAAAGGAACCCATTCAATTTTTTTTTAATTCTATAAAAGCACCTTCATGATTTTCTACTTAAAATGTACAAGAAAACACAGCCCTAGAAAATCCTACAAAAGAAATTAGGGCATTAATCGCAGTCACCTAAGAAACACAGTGTTGACACGGGACTAGCTGAACAGGGACAGACCAGCCACCCGTGATCTGACTTGGTTCGAATGCAAACCGCTGACGCTCCTAATTTGACTAATTCACCAACGATGTTCCTCCGCATTGAGTCTAACTGCTGTTACATCCTATGTATGCATATTTCACCCATTTACCTATAAATACCTGTGTAGACTAACCTCATGCTTATAAAGCTGATTAATTAGTTTCTAATAATCATACACCAATCACCAGTATATGTGGTTCCTAAGACAGTGTAGTGTTTTAATGCCTATCATTTGGCTCTTAATGCAAAAGTAAAGATTTCAATTTAAGGATGAGTTACAAAATAACAGTTAATATAATTTTAAAAGATATTTTTCCCATAAATACTTAGGGGAGATGGAGTATTTATTTACCTCAGCTAAAGTAATCAGAAGAGGATCAAATGGAAGATTTTCAGGAGGACAATCCCACTGTAATCTGTGTTTTACTGAACCATGGACCAATCTACAGTATAAAAACCAGTGAATGAAACAAGAACAACGTCATCACATTTAAGCAGTGATTGTCTGACACATATATGCTCTTTCTAGAACACAAGCATATTAAAGTTATTTTGTAACAGGTAGAAAAACTGTGGCTTCAAACCATATTACAAAGACATGTTGTAAAGCTATGCCCATAATGCTCCAAATCCTCACCCTATGAGCAAAACTGTTGGAAAACCAGACAACCCTGCATTCGCTAAATCTGCAGCTTCGGAGCTCAAGCATGTTGCTATCTGTGAGTCTCAATGCAAATGTTACAGCTGTTACATTTCAGTGACAATTATAACAAAATAATCTACTCAAAATAAAAAAATACAAAGTGTAATCATTACAAATGAAAACTTATTTTAGAACAAACATCGTTTTTTGGATACAGATCACTGAACACTAACAAATGATGTGAAGTCCAGCCAGGTATCATCCGTGTGGAAGAGAATAGACTCCCTAAAGCAGACATCGCTTACATGGGGTAACGAAGTGGCAGCCTCTTGAATTAAAGTTCCTGCTGCTGCTTCTTTCTTTTACGCAGCCTGCACTGGGGACAGCTTACATGCAATTAATCAGCTGCACTCATGTAAAGTGCACAGCGCAATAAGTTTTGATGTGTGAACATACACATGGAAAAATCACCACAATCGTTAATGGTGAACTTCTTTTCCACCCTCAAATGCTCTCAACTCTATTCCTTTGTTTGTGTGATCTGCGTTACAGCAAGATGCCTCAGTAACACTGTTTTACATTTTTGGCAACAACAGATTGCTTTGGGTGGGTAAGGAAGTGTAAGAATGTTAACAGGGTTTCAATTTAGAATATGATAGTCAGCCAAACCCGAAAACACCACTAAAAACTACATTTCTTAAATATTAGAAAAACAAAACAAAACAGAAAAGGATGTTGTGATTATTCTTTCCACAATGAAAATAAAATTATCAATTATATCAGGCTAAAACTGAATATACTCATAAGAAATAAGTGATTCTAGAGAGTAAAATCTCATAATATCACTATTAGCAACCTATATTGCTTTCTTTAAAATAATTCTGAATTCTCTCTAGAAAGGTGGAAAGAATTATATCAAAAGTAAGCAGAAACAGATGTATGTACCGATTAATAAATATTACAAAAAATACAATCTTGAAATTTTGTATTTTTAAAATATAATTTCAAAAAATAATAAAAACAATTTTACTAAATTCTTACCTTTCAGTTTACAAACAAAACAGAATGATTTATTTGTAACCTACATAAGCCAATGAATGCTTATACAGTTTTAGAAGTTGGTTCAATCAATATCTTAAATTATTTTGTGGTTAACTGAAGATGTATTAATAATTCTATTTTGGAATTAAAATTATTTTCTTCAACAATGTCCCAGGATCTATATCAATCTAACAGCCCCAAAGTGTAAGTCCCTTTATTTCAACCTCCGTCGTAAATAAAGTGTTCAGTACATTCAACTTGAATGTCGTACTGACTTTACTCAATTATTCTGAATCACACGGCGAGTCACGACTCGTACTGACTTTACCTGCAGGGAACACCTCCGTTGGAGTACACAGCTGCAAATGCAGAAGGGGCTCGCGACTGCTCCCCAAACTGAAATGAAATGTGACAAGAATACAATACACACTACTGTCACCTCCACTCTGTCGGTATCTAATCAATTTGGGTCAGAGGCAAAAGAATGCCCTGACTTTCAGCCACTTTCACTTCCCAGTGTATCACTGTGCTCAGCAATGCAAACGAGAAAGGCATCGGTCCTCTCAGGACCGAATACACAAGCAGTTTCCTTTCACCCCTCACTTGTTTTGAAAGGCTTGAAGGTGCCCGAAACCATTTATATTACAAATAAATATAACAGATAAATACACAATATCATAAATACTGTAAGATAACACTTCTCAACGCCCCCTCGCTATGACTGACCTTTGAAGGTGAGAGCTGAACGGAGAAGAGGTGTTAAGTGAGGGAAAGCACATTTGTGTTCAGCCTTCAGCACATTTTCTGCCTGTTCTCCCGCTAAGTATGGCTGCTCCGGATGGTCAGAGAACCTGTCATTTCCCAAACTGGCCTACTGCTTCCACAAAAATGAGAGGCTTACGCTGTGCAGGGGTGACAGGGCTGGAGACTGAGCAAGACCCTCAGCAACAAATGTCCACATGTGCCTGCCTAGACATGTAACCCACAACTTTCAGTGTTGCTATACACTATGATCTTAAGAATAGATTAAATCTGGACCTACTCTCAAAGGCAATTTAGGAGGGGATCAATCACAGCAGTTAACAAAATCACAGCATACAGAGTTTCAATATAATTGATCAGAAACTAAAGATATAAAAAAATATTTCACAACATGGTACTCGAATATAATCAAATGAAACAGTTGTTTAAAATATAAAATAGAAACTTACTATGCATAACTAGCTAAAAATTTTTAATTGCATGCAATGATTAAAAAATATACTTAAAAGCTTAAGTTTACAATTAGCTCTGTTCCCTCTGGAAAAACACATTTTGAGTAAAAATACATCTGAAATTTCATTAAAATAAAATATCACAATAAAAGATTCATTTGAGAAGCTCAATCCATATTCTGCATAGTAATTCACAGCAATAGTAACATTTTATTCATTGAGTTATAATCCCTGCTAAGAATCCTATAAGTAACTGAAAAAGTGTTGCTTATATTAGAAAAAAATTAAGACAAATCAATTAAAGATGGGAAAAGGAAGTAACAGCAAGAAAGTATCAGGGTATTCAAGCTTTCAATTTCCTTGATACTGTGTAAATTTCAGAAAGAAGCGAAGGAACACAGATAAACTTTTTTCTTTTTTTTTAAAGAGAGACAATCCTTTGAAACACAGAATTTTTTTAAATTTCATTTATTTATTTTTAGAGGGGAAAGGAGGAAGAAAGGGAGAGAAACATCAATGTGTGGTTGCCTCTCAAGCACCCCCTTTTGGGGATCTGGCTTGCAACACAAGCACATGCCCTGACTGGGAATTGAACCAGCAAACCAGCACTCAATGCACTGAGCCACACCAGCCGGGGCTCATTTTACTTTAAGTCAGATAATGTCCTGTTTCTTGGAACGCTCACTGTATCCTTGCCTAAGTATCTGCCATATTTCACCTGCCATCAAAATCGAAGAGCCAGCTCTTCTCCCAACCCCTTCCGAGGGCTGAAACCACCATCCTCTCACCCTATGGAAGGCTGGGCCAAACACACCTGGTGTTGTTGCTCAGGTGTGTTCACTTCTGGATAATTCCCTGACTTACCCACAATTATGTACTTTTCTGTGCTTAAATCTCATTTTTGTTAAATCTGATTAAATTGCTGGGAAGAGGTAGGAGGAGGCTAGCACTACAGTTGGGATTTCTGGTGGACAGGTTTGTGGATCACAGAGAAACGGTTATGGACCTTTACTCAACTGTCAAGGCACGCAATTCATCCTATGACAACTAAATATAAGTTTATTCATTGATATCAGAATGTCAAATCATCATAGCAAGTAAAAATAAAGCTGATACGTAATTTATTTTCTACCCACCAATACTCACCCACGAATGAGACAGGACCTACCCAAACTGGCTGATACCCACTCCATCCCGTTCACCTGCGTTCCCCCCATCACCTCCACCCTTATCCACTCCATCCTGTTCACCTGCGCTCCCCCCATCACCTCCACCCTTATCCACTCCATCCTGTTCACCTGCACTCCCCCCATCACCTCCACCCTTATCCACTCCATCCCATTCACCTGCGCTCCCTCCCCATCACCTCCACCCTTCATCACCACTGCCACATGCCCTTCCTGCTCCACTACCTCGGCACCAGCACGAGAGACTAAGACAGGACACAGACGGTTCGCCAGTGTGCTAAGTGTGTGTTATTTAGAGAAACCTACTGAATCAGAATCTCTCTTGCACCTACCGGGTTAATCGTTTTAGGGTTAAGTTTATCACTTGGCCGAGGGTGAACTTTCCTTGCAGACTCTGGCGAACTGGCTGACGATGAAGATTTGCTTCGCTGAACTGCAGTCCTCTGTGTTATTCGTGGATTTGCTGATGTCCTTTGATTACAATTACCTGGAAAAGAAACCCAGAAAAATCAACCAAAAAGCGCGAAAACAATAAAACGCACCCCACATTCATGCGGATGACAGAACGTGTCATTAATAAAGTTCACCTCTTCCCCGACAAAGCAGCATGTCGTACCCGTCACTCTGTTTTTGAGCCGCATGTCTCCCTGGCACTCTGACTTCTGCATTGCTTCCCCTTTACTCCTGCAGGCAAACGAAACCTGATTTCAAAATATTTTGAGGATATTCACTAACAATACGAAGACCAAAACAGAATACAGTAGAAAGTACAGTAACAGACACACACAAAAAATGGTATGACATGGAGCAAAATACTTGAAAAGACTAATGAGAAAATATAACATTATATCAATTTCAGTAAGATCAGTAACAGCATATTTAAAACTGGCTGTAAGAAAATAAAATGTATAAAACTATATTTTTTCCTTCAAATTATCAAAATATACTATTAGATACTCAGTTGCAATCCTCTGGTTATATGCAAAAAACATGAACTAGACTTTTAAAAATATTTTACTTATTTATCTTTAGAGAGGGGCAGGGAGAAAGGGAGAGAAACATCAATGTGTGGTTGGTTGCCTCTCACGTGCCCCACACTGGGGACCTGGTCCGAAGCCCAGGCACGTGCCCTGACTGGGAACCATCGAACCATCAACCCTTGGGTATGTAGGCCTGCACTCAATCCACTGCACTACACCAGCCAGGGCATGAACTAGATTTTTGAAGAGTGGTTGGCACATACCCTACCGTCTCCACCTTCTCTGGCCCCTATATTTCCCAAGTCCCAAATGTCATCATCTGCATATCAAGTCCTACTTTTGCAGTGACATAATAAACTGTCCTACTCAATGTCCCATGAGCTCCTGGAATCCCACATAACCCAGAAGTTATCACACACACTGAAGCTGTAAAATCCTTGTTAACTCAAGGAACCACCAGTTTTCTGGCCCATCAGGAGTTAAAACTTATAGAAAATTGCTGTTTCCTTTTCCTTTGCTTCCTTCACTCATCCCTGCAACGTGTTCAACATGGTACGGCGAGCCTCTGGGCTCAAATCTGGGTTAGTATCTCGTCTCCACCAGTTATGAGGCTCAGGAATTAGGCAGATTATTTAACATCCCTAAGCTTCGATTTCCTGATCTGTTAAAAGAGGTAAATCAAGCCTATTAAAGTCGTGGTTGAGTGACATTATCAGCTTGCTCACCAGCCAACAGAGGTTCACCTCTCCCTCTTCCTTATTTCCTCTTTTTTGTTAATGAAAGGGGTCCAGTTCATAACCCATGATTTCCTGCCTAATTAGTGATTTCTAAACTTCTACCAGTGAGTCCTCTACCACACACCCCCAGACCCACATACCCAGCTGCCTGCTGGGATCTCTAGGCCAAGCTCCAATCCTAAATTCCTGGAGCCTTTGCCATCTTCTGTGTCTCAAATGCTCTCTTCCATGGCCCTCTAGTTTCTGCACTGCTTCCTTCATACTTCTACCTGATTACTTCCTCTCTCCCTTGCATAACACTCCAGTCGTTCCGTTATTAGAGCGCGTTCCACTTCACACCTGTAACACAGTCACAACTGCAACTGCACTGTATGGCAACACAGGAGAAGTCCTCATATGCTTCCAAATGAGAGTTTTTCAAATATTTGAGGACAATGACTCTCAGTTCTTTAGTTTTCTCTTCTTCAGGATCAACGCTGACACTTTCTGAAGTGATGCCTTACATGAGTTGATTTTAACAGATTAGAAATCTTCACGAGGAAGACCAAGGTCTACGTAGTAACAGTGAGCCTGATCATACTTCAAACATGATGTGACCAGAGTGCCTTGTACAGACAAACGTTAGAATGCTGCCGTACACGGAACTTCAAATTTCAATTTTTTAAATTTAATATACTGACTTAATTTTCTCATCCTATGACCAGGAGATAACTTACCCAATATCCTACTTCACATTCATTCCCAAGGCCTTTTCTAGTCATATCTCATTAACTTTATCAGATAATACTCTAAGACAAGCTAAGGCAAGCTTTAAACACACTGACCTAATACAGCACTTCGGGGATTTAACAAGCATTTACAATTACTCCTGGACTGTTCTGAGAAGCTCCTGATGAAGAGCAATGCATTAAGTTTCTATTTTTAAAAAATATATGCCTCATTTCCAACTCTATAATTTGGGGTAACTACAATAACTCTTCTAAAGGTTGATGAAGACTAGTAAATGAATATATGTAAAACATTTACGTATACACTTGGCACATAGTAAGTGCTATATTGAGTTTTAGCACTTTCTTTATAATGATACAAAGTGGTTTTTAGTATCACCAATAATAGTGGGGTTAAGGTGACTAAACAGTTCCTTCTTTCTGAAAAATCTGGTTCAATAGCTTAGACTATGTCAATTTGAAGATCCAGTTTAACATCAGTTTGTCCTGATCATACACTGTCATAGCTGACATGGCTGAAAACGGTACTATCACAAAGACGCCTACCCACAATCATAACAAGTGCCTAGTTTGCAACATCAAACAGGGCACACATTTTTCAACACTGTCTACCAATTCTGCAAACGTTTCAGTTGGAACAATTAAATCTGTACACTTTTATGTCACAAAGATGTTCCTTTGAAGGTACTAATGGGAAGGTACTGCATTATGAATGACTTCAAAACATTAACCAAAAGTCTTCACCTGACTTTTAAACATGCTAAAAAAAAAAAAGAGCTTCCAAAGGTTTTAGTATACAGGGCAATTCTTATATGTAATGTACTTACCTAATTTACAGATAGCAAGAAACACCCACACAAACACACAATGATGCAAACACTTCTATGTCCACTTCTGAAACACCTTAGTTTCTTTCTGAAACAATTACTTTTTTCATGTATCAATAAAAGTATATCCTTTTGTCTTAAAGACAAATTAAGTGCCCTCAATTTTTAAAAAATATCTATCTGGTAGATTACTGGCAACAAACCTGCAGCATGAGTTGTTAGTAAAAGGAAAATGCTTAATGTATTTTATGCTCAACCACCCTTTTGAGTGCACTTTCATTAAATAACATGGGAGAGGGTGGTGTGAAAGGGTAATGTTGGAAGGAAGTGAAAAATAAAGAATCGCTTTATGTTACAAATATTCTAAGGCCACCATTCTTTTACAAAGCAACATGAAGATTCTAAATAGACTCTAGAATCCACAAATCTACTTAACCCCAACATCTAAACTATGTCACAGTATCAGAGCGCTCCACTGGGCGATCCTCACTTCTCCCTCAGATTTCCTTAGCTGTAGGCATCTGCATCCAAGCTAGGAACGCATACCATTCTTTCCTTGTTTTGAACAACTCGTAAATCCTTTCTCTATATGCACTTCCCCGCCCCACCCCGCACCCTGCTCTGCACAAAACTGCTTGCTAAATTCTCAAGAGCAGATGCCACATTATTTTTTCTTCCCTAATCATGTTTAGAAAGTTCCAAAAGCACTAATAGGCACCTCCCTAAAGTTCCTTCTGATTCCAAAGCACAGCAACACAACCCAGTAACCACCTACTCAGTCCCTTTACCATAAAGTAAATCCAACGGGCCAGTAACAAGAATCTTAAACTTTGCTTTTCATTTCCTTAACCTCTACTCCTCCAACACTATACATTTCTTAATATCTAAGGCCATTTTAGGGCCAGGGTATTGTCAAAGTTGGAAAAGAAAAAGGGCATGTACGGGGAAAATGAAGAAAAAACTGATTTTTTTTTTTTTTTAAGGAAGGTGGAGGAAAAGGCAGCCGGTTTCAATTAAGGCGAATGGAGGCTACTCTAGGCCAAAGTACGACCCCGGAAAAGAAAGGGCGACCCCGGAAAAGAAAGGGCGAGCTCTCGGCTCACAGCACCTCCGGGGTCCTTAGCAACGGAGTCCGCCAGCCCTAGCAACAGGTCCAGCGGAAGCCGGCTAGGCCCAGAGGGTGCGGGAAGCTCCGGGGGAGCCCCCCGGCTCCGGGAACCCGTCCTACCGCGCCACCTTCCCCTGCGACCCGCCCACTAGCCGCCACCCTAGAAGGGGCTTTTCACCGGCGACTGCTGGACCAACGCCGCGGTTCCCGCGACCCGTCGCCTGAGTTTGGGAAGAAGGGAGCTGCGCGCGATCCCCAGCTCCGACGGCGCTGTGCGTGATGTCAGACGCACGTTACGACCACTAAGCCAATAGCAGGGAAGCTGCAGACGCACAAGCGGAAGAGGGTTGCCCTGGCAACAGGCGAGGGAGGTGAAAGGACATTTCCTGAGCTAGCTGCGCTGTTTGGTGACAAAAAGGCACCTGGTGAGGGCTTGTTTGGGGAATGAGAGGTCCAGGTAGCAGAGGAGAGCGCTCCTCATTCCCTGCGTTTCCGGCCCTCCCCAGGCCGTGTATGTACCTCTGACGGCGCTCTGGCACACTTAAAATGCTCAGTGTTCTCCAGGTATCTTGCCCTGGCCTAGATCATCTGGGAGCTGAGGATCGTGAACTCCAGCCTCGGAGTCTTCAAGGGAGAAAGGCAAAGTCATCCCCCTGCCCAGCTGTAGAATTTCGTTTCCTGTCATATCTTACTAATTCATATACTATTGCATCGACTACATAATACATCCCTATTTTAATAATGAAAAGCGTGTGCTTTTGTACTCCAGATATCCAGTAAAACGGATGCTGCAGGAAAATGTGTGTCCCCTTGTGATTCCATCTAGAGCAATTCGGGATGTCATAGTAAAAAGCCCATCATGCCCTTTCAGACCTGTCTACTGCATTCCTTTCTAAAGTCCTCGTCTGTCGCCAACCTTAACTGTTTGCTTGGACAAGAGCTAACTCTGCAGTTATCCTTGTCTGAACACCCCAGGCAGTAATCTCTCCCTGTCTTTGTAGCTCCATTCTTGTTCCCTGAATTTGCTACCCCAGAAGCACCTTCCCTAGGCTGCTTCTAGTAAATCGCAGTAAGGACTCAGGAAATGCCCTCTGAATAAATGAAATGAATGAATGGATTCTATAATTTCTCTAATGCTCCATGAACTTTGCAGACATCTCTATCTGAAGATTTAATCTTAATTATGATGTATTTATGTCTCTTCTCCACTAAATTGAAATAGTCTCCATCAGTTTGTCAGTTTCCTATCCCCAATACTAGCACAATGCATGCTTAATGCTTTTTAAAAAGCAAAATAAAGGGAAAAAAAGATCCTATTTTTAGCAACTTTCACATTATTATCCTCTTCTCCAGCTTTGTCAAGATTTGTTATAGCTCCTTGTCCTCTTGCTTACTCCTAGTATTGCCAATGTCAGACTGAGCAGCACCTAGCTTATCTTCATTTTAAAAATAAAGAAACGGGTTCATTGGCATTTTGACTTTGTCTGGATATCATGCAGTAATACAGGGAGTACTTTCTTAAACATATTAATTTGAGAAGCCTGTGAGACACCTGGCTGAAGCTGAGCTAAACGAAGTTCACAGTTCCTTTCTTAGTGGCCAATTTCAGGACTAAAGATGTAGAATCTACGGTGTATTAGCCCTTGATTAATGCACTGTCTCCGCCGTTCCCTTAAACATTAATAAATAGCCCCTTGGTAACTAAAACCTTGCCAAATTGTTCTATTTTTAATGTATCCATACATATATAAAATTATGAACTAGATAATACATCTGATAAAAACTCAGATTTTTTTCTTATTGTTCTGATACCTATTTCACTTGTGAATATTTCTTAATTATATCCATTTAGCCACCAAGCATTTTTAAGTAAACAACAGAGGTATTAATAGCTTGGCCTTAATTACATTAAAGAAAATCTGTTTCTTTTTGGTACAAATTACAGACTGACTGATCATTCCCAATTATCAGGAAATGAGATATAAGACAACTCATTTTTTTCTGTGTAATTTTCAGTACACCCTGTCAGACATATAATCACTGAGTGTCCCAATGGAAAAATTAAATTCTAATTTTAATTATTTTCCACATGGAAAAAATTAAGCCATGATGATGGTAACACTGGCAAAAGTAAATGAGACCAACATGAAGCAGCATAGAGGGCAGTATTGTCCAAGAGAAATAAAATGTGAGTCACAGTGAAAAAAATTTCATTTTCTAGTAGGCACAAGATTTTAAAAGTAAGAAGAAACAGGCGACATTCAGCTTGATAATATATTTTTATTTAACTAAATATGTCCAAAATACGACCAATGTGCAATAATTATGGAAATATGAGTGTGATGTTTTGCTTTCTTGTTAGCATGCTGAGTCCTCCAAATGTCATGCGTATATTATATTTGCAGCACGTCTCAATCCAGATGAGCCCCATGTCATGTCCTCAACAGCCACATGTGGCTAGTGGTGACCACTGGAGTGGAGAGAGAGCTATGTCCTCGGATAGTTGTACAAACAGAACCAAATGAATAAATGTACTGTGTTAAGTGGTTGCCAAGTACACACCATATGTAGTACGTATCATTAGGTGTTGGAAGATAAAGCAACAGGTAAAGGGAAACTAGTTAAATGAATTGGCTATGAATCTCTGACTATGGAGTCAGCACAAGTAGTGGCTTTATTTATGATTCATAGCTGAATTGGGTTTCCTTTACAAATTCCCTTTTAGTCTGTGCAGAAACTTCAGCTTTCTTCTCCTTGGATATGAGTTGGGGAGGGAGTGATGAAGCTGAGAGACACAAGGTATCTGGTCCTCTGTTGTCATCTGCCTCTGCTGCCAGCTACTGAGATGGACTTTGAACTTTCTGGTCCTCAACTGCATATTCTCTAGCCGTGTAGCTTGTTCATGCATATCTCTCATTCCAGATTCTCATTCACAGTGAATTTTAATCTCCTCTTAAGCTCTTGGGAAGTAGTCTATTCTTCCCATCTGTAGTGAGAGAAGCCCACCTGTTGAGTTACACACTGTAGAAATAATGGAAACCTGTGAGACTGTCTTCAAGTCTTTTGCCTACATACCCAACATAGCCATTTCTTTTGACGCTGAGACCTGCTCGATTCAGGGGTACTTAGACCCACATTGGTTCTGAGACGTTGCCTTGAGACCAGGATGATGGTTGGGGAGGGCAGAGTACACTGCCTCTTTGCACTCGGATCGGGACCTGGGCTCCGAAAGATGGCGTATTCTTCAAACTCTTCCAAGTAATGACTAATCTTTGAACGTGGCTTTTGAAACTTCAAAGCCAAGAATTGTTATTGTTGTCAGTATTTTTTATGATGCCACCCCTCAACACAGACTCTGTGTCAATAAACATAAAATAGTCTAGCTGCAGTCTCTGTGGAAGAAGTGCCACGGGGCAGCAGGAAATATTACTTTTACAGAAGTGGTTTTATTATATTAGTTTATAACTTATTTTAGAACCTTTTATGGGGTTTTTTAAACAAAAGGTGACAGTTGGAGTAATAAACCATTTAAAGAGTGTTTTATTCCACTTAGTTCAAGCACAGCTTATTAAGTTGAGGGTTAGAGATAGGCAGGAAAGGAATGGGCTTCTCGCATGTCTTCTAGAAAGTAGGGCATTAACCAACATTAAAACAATTAAACAGTTCATTAAGTCCTAGGTAATGAATCTTTGTTCTGCTGATCTTGGGTTAATGAGTCCTCTTTCACAAAGTCATGGACAACAGGACTAAAAGAAACAGGAAGCTTTGACTTTGTCTCTCTGTACATTCCAACAGGTGTCCGTGATGACAATGTCAGTTTATAATGAAAAACCTGTCCACATGATTTCATTCTCTATAAATAACAAGAATAGTTAAGAGTACTAGGTATAGTCTTTAGATGAGGGCTTTTTTTTTAGTTTATTTGTTTTTTTAAAGTTGTGTTTCCAGATGGCTTAATTTCTGATCCATGGCTTGTAGAGGGACCTTTACGTCATTTTATTCACAGCGTGGTTCTCGGAGCTTCCTCGCCACCACGCCACCATCATCACCCGAGGGCGTGTTAGAAACGCAGAATCACAGTCTTCACTCCAGGTCTCCTGAATCTCACTCTGCATTTTGCCAAGACTCCTCACACGAGGAAATGTGCTTTACCATTTAGGCATACGCAAGGATGAAGCAGAAACTGCCCCTTGGTGATATAAAGAATAAGCATTTCTTGTGAAATTATTATAAAAATCCCAGTGTCAGAATAAAGGAAAATGTAATTGTCTCTTGAGGTGTAATAAATAGTAATTGTATAGGGACTCAGTCAAAGATTACATAAGAGTAAGAACATATTATGACCATGAGGGCTGTTCTGGGTTGAAGTCCTCCCCCCATAGAACCATACATTGGAGTCCTTAAATGTGAACTTAAAAATTTGGAAATAGGGTCATTGAAGATGTTAAGTAGTTAAGTGAGGTGACTGCTAGCCTTATAAAAAGGGGACATTTGGGCACAGGAACACATATGGGGAAAACACCACACGAAGGTGGAGGCAGAAGCCGAAGACCACCAGACTGCCAGCAAACCACCAGCAGCTCAGGCAGGGGCGCAGGGACGTCACCCCTGGCAGCTCTCAGCAGGAGCTGATGCTGCTGACCCTAGGGCCTCAGTCTCCAAGCTTTTGGAAAAAAGAGACAACGTAATCATGCAAACTGGGGCTCTGCCACTTGGTGCCTTTGATTCACGTGACCTAACAATTACTGTTGAAGGAAACAGTTTTTATTAGCAGGACTCCAACCTTGGGTGGGCTGGTGCTGAGAGTCATTCCTGCTCAGAGCCCTTCTCTTCCACGAGACCCAGGACTTCCCTTGCTCCCCAAAATACAACAAGCTAAAACCATGTCCAAAGTTCCCCATATCCTTACCTGTCCATCAGCTGGTCATGCAAGCAGCTCTCCATCCTCTCT